TTACAGATTGGATGGAAAAGGAGGGATTGAAAGTGGAGAATTACAGAACTCCCACAAAAGGAGCTTTGGAACATAACTGATGACTGCTCAAAGCTGCCTCTCTTGCTTAGATGTTGGCCTGCCTCACTTTCTACAGTCATTATCTGGGGGTGGGCGGGGGGGGGGGGTGGCCTAGCTCCTTGCAGGATGACTTTTAACAAAGGATAGCAAAAAAAGATGGTTTAGGATTGTACGCGGGTGACAAATTCTAGACCTGGATGGCTCTGTCGCTTATCACCTGGGTAGCCTTGGGCTAGTCGTGTACCAATCTCTCAGACCTTGGTTTTCTCGTCTCTGAACAGGAAATGATGCTAGCATCTGCCTGAGATTAGTGTGAGGAAGAGATTAATAAACTCAGTGCTCCATCCACTTGCTTTCTAAATGTTTTACTACAGCTACTCATTTAAATTTTTTTTTATGATTCTGTGTGTATGGGTGTTTTGCCCACATGTATGTCTGTGTACCACATGAGTGCCTGGTTCCCATAAAAGTTATCCCTCGGAACTAGAGTTGCGAACATGGGATGCTGGAGCTCAAACCCAGGTCCTCTGGAAAAATAGTCAGTTAACTACTGAGCTATCTCTCCAACCCCCAATTTGTTCAGTGTTAGTGTGTGTGTGTGTGTGTGTGTGCGCGTGCGTGCGCACACGCGCGCGCACGCATCTGTACATGTGGGCGTACCCGAGAGTTCCTGTGGAAGGCAGAGGACAACTTACAGGATCCTGTCAACAGTCAGTTCTCATCCTTCATTGTGTGGGTCTTAGGCCTGGAGGTAAGCATCTCTACCCACTGAGTCATTATGCCGGCCCCTCGATCCATACTCTTAAAAAACTATTTATTTATCTAATACTTTTATGTGTGGGGGCGTTTTGTCTGCATGTATGTCTGCACACCATGGGCTTCAGATCTCCTGGAACTGGATTTACAATTGTGAGCCTCCCTCCATGTGGGTGCTGGAAACTGAACCTGGGTCATCTAGAAGAACAGCCAGTGCTCTAAACTGCTGAGCCATTTCTCCAGCTCCTTAATCCACTTGGTGCTACACCTGGCACAAACACCTAATAAATAGTAACTCACATGCCACGAATGGTAAGACAGGACAGTAGTGTTCCCGTGCAGTTCAGAAGATACACTGAGTGTCAGCAAAGGCTTTCAGGACAGGGACTGTGCAAACCATTGCCACAAGTGACCTACTATCAAATCTTTCAGATCCCCCATTCATGTTTTCTGAGGTTCAAGGTCTGACACCTTCAAGGAAGGTGGTTCACACACATCTATTTTCTGTGGTGCCTTTTCTCCAAGGCCTCCTTAAATGAAGGTGGCAAGTTAAAAAAGAAAAAAGGAAGGAAGGAAGGGAGAGAGGAAGGGAGGGAGGGAAGGAAGGGAGACAGGGAGGGAGGGAAGGAGGGAAGGAGGAAGAAAAGCATGCAGGAGATGGAAAGGGAATTTTCTACAGAGCCTCCAAATGTGAGCCGGGAACCATCCCACTTTGTCAGTGGTGATTTGAGGACACGTGACTTTGTCAACTGAGAATCACTTTATTCACATCTGCAGATTTACAGAGCTACCGTCTGTGAATTCGCTCTTGCAGAAACAATGTGAACATGTGGACACAGGTGAATTCGATCCGCCCAGAACTAAAAACTGAACCATCTGAGTTAGCATGAGGCACGCGGGCAAGGGAAACTGTGGAATGCATGCTTCTTAGCATGGTCTGCAGCTGGCTCTCTGTTCCCTGCATGCTCCCTAAGCCAGCAACATGTCACTCCTATACCTGAAACCTGGCCCTGACTCCCTGCCTCGCCCACTCAGGCCCCAGACAGGACTGTGGCCATCTGGTTTGCAGCTCAGTGCCTCTTCAGTGAGACCTCTTGTACAATAAGGAGCCTAGTTTATTCACATCCACTGCTGCCGTCTACAGACGAGCAGGGAACTGAAGCCTGTCCACCCCAAGTGCTAGCTCTGCCCCTGACTCACATATGGCCCCGCATAGGTCAGCATTTTTGTACTTCAGTTTTCCCATCTATAAAATGGGTACGATAATGCAGCTACTGTAGTGAGTGCTTAGGAAGTTTAAATACTTGTCTGGTATAGACTAAGGGCTCATTATTGTGGACATCATGGTGGTTTTTAGATATGTGTGGAATTACAAAGAAACCCAAACAGGAAGGGCAAGTGTTCCCAGTCGCTGAGCACATTTTGCATTCACGGGCTAGCTCAGGGCTCGGTGAAGCGGACCACAAAGAGAGAGGGGACCTTCACGCTGATTGACAGTCCTGGCCTTCCTTCATTTATTTGTTTTGCCTTTTGAATCAAGGTCTTGCTATGTAGCCCAGGTTTGCCTTGAGCTGGTGATCTTCCTGCCTTGGCTTCCCAGGTCCCTGTGTGAGAAGCAGGTGCCACTACTGCCAGCATGACCTTCCTTCTCTTGGGCTACCCACTCAACTCCACCACAGCCAGCCTGCAGAACTCTCTGCAGTACTCTTCAGCAGTACAGGCAGACACATCAGCCCACACGCCCCAAAGAGGCTCTCCACAAGTCAACACTGCATCCACCACACATGCACAAACTGAGGCCTGCAAGGGCTGTGTGTCTGTACTTTGTTAGTACCGAGTCCGTCTCTATATTACTTGTCGTTTTGTCTTAGATGCTAAGGATGCAGCAATTATAGGGGAAAGTCAGTTCCGTAGGCTGGTGTTTTGAAACCCCATGTTCTAGTATACCCAATGACATACGTGTTATGCTACAAACATCCAGACATTCATTTGTTGGGTATCTCTTGAACACAACAGAGGAACACAGTCCCTTAGGAAGGGTAGCATTAAGTAAATCATTAAGTCACAGTGAAGTTTTTTTGTTGTGACTGAATTATGTTCAAATATGCTAGAATGAGCATCTTTACCTGCATGCCAACATGCTTTGCACGTGTCAGAAGGCAGGCCTGGGATGGTGGGGCAGTCAAGGTAGGGTCCTCCGAAGCGCCCACTCTGCTGGGCTCCCTGACAAGGGTTTAACACTGTCATCCGGTGCTGACAGTGGGAGACTGGGAGCCTGAATGTGCTCCACCTACCCTCATTGTTCAGATGAGCACACTGAGGCCTCAAGAATTTCACGTAATTGTCCAAAGTAGTATAGCTGATGGACGCGAGCCTCAGACTTCTGCATGGGCTTGCAAGGCTTCTTTTCAAGAACAGGCCCCATCCCATCACACGATGGGATTCCGGCTCACTGCTACTGCCTTCCTTCCCTCTCAGGTGCACTCCCGGTCTGGGAGCCACAAACACTGCTCCTCTGCGGGGGCCCATGCGGCTCCCCTACCAGAGACCCAGAGGCCACATCACTAAAAAACCTCTGCCCGCTGTGGACACTCAAGACTCCTTTGGGTTTCACTCCCCCAGGAAGCTGTGCTGGGGCTGGCCTCCTCCGCTCCCACAGCGTATAGAAACACTCATCACGTAATATGCTCACACATTCAACAAATATTTATTGAGCAACATCCATATGCCAGAGACCTTTGAGTACAGCAATAACAAAACACAATGCCTGCCCTTGAAGAGCTTACATTCTGGTGAACAAAACGATAAGCCAACAAAACAGTGTCAGGTAGAGCTCCATGCTGTGAGACAGCAGCAAGGCTGGAGACCTCTCTCAGGATGTGCCATCTCATCAGAGCTCTCCAGAGGCCACAGAGTAAGCCATGCACACAGCTGGGGAAGGAGTGCAGTGCAACAGTGGCGGCGGCAGCAGCGACAGCGGCAGCAGCAGCGACAGAGGCAGCAGCGACAGAGGCAGCAGCAGCCCTACCGATGCAGACTACCTATTATTGCATTCATTCCCTTCTCAACTACCAACGCCTGAAGGCAAGGGCACAAAGTGTGACTACCTCAGCCCCGCACAGAACTTAGTACAGCCACAAGGAGTATTTACAAAATAAGAGAACGAACCTGGGTTGGGTTGGCTGAGCTGTCCTTAAACCCAGTGAACAAGATCAAGCCTGCTTTCTGTGCCTTGAACCTTGAACACTGGCCCTGGCTGGCCAGACTGCGTCCTTAGCCATGTCTGTCCCTGGACTCTCTTCACTAGGACTGCACACTGACAAGTCCACGTTTACCTTTCTGGCCCTCCCCTCTATGGGCTGGACATGGGACTTTATCTACAAATCTAGACACTGTAGAACCGAGTCTTCCCACTCCTTCCGACCACAGCGGACCTTCCTGCGGTCATCTCTCCAGTTTCTGACTTCATTAAACCACGTCTACCATAGCCTCGGCACAGGCTCTGCCCCTGTCCTGGTGCTCTCTGCGGCAGATTGCTCCCAAAAGCTCGTCAATAGCTCCCATGCTCTAACCAAGCCAACAGGCCTTATTTACTTCGCTGATGGCAACAGAAACCTCTGGGATTCATTGGTGCTTTGCCGCACACCCTAAAAGGACAGAAATGACATCAAGGGTGAGTGATTCACCTCCTCACGCTTCCAGCCCCCACTGACTGACACCTGCTCCATGCCCGGATTCATACACTAGCGTGGTCTGCGGTGGTGTCTGCGGTGGTGTCTGCGGTGGCGGGGATGGAAGGGAGAGTGATAAAAGTGGCTTGTCACTTACGGAAGACTTGTACGATCACTAGGCAGTAAGCCCCCTCAAGGTAACTACCCGGCTTCACTTTACAGAGGTTGACAGGCCAAAGAAGAAGAGCAGCTTGCTCAAGGTCGCACAGCTAAGTAGCAGGGTGTTAGCAGGCTGTAGTGAGGCGTCGTCAAGTACCAACCTGGCTCAAGAGCGGAGTGGAACTCTAAGCACTAAAGTTTACAAAACTTTAAATAGGACTGAGATGAAGAAAATGAAAGTCGGTAACGGAGATTACAGACATGCGGAGCCAGGGCAAGGGCTGCGCTGCCCGGGAAAGCGCCTCGGGGCCTGGAAGGACGACCCCCCTGTGCCCACGCGGCGGCGGGCCTCACCTCCTTCCACCTGAGCTGCCGAAGGCTGATCTTCAGCGCGTCCAGGGACGTGCGCGCCTTGGAGCTGTCCACGGTGACCGGCCGCGGCGAACCCGAGCCGCGCCGGTACCGGCCCCGGCCCCGGCTCCGGCTCCGGCCCTTCGCGAGCTGGCACAGGGCCCGCGCCGCCGGCCTCGGCGGGGCCAGGGGCAGCGCGGGCGGCAGCCGCCGGGCGACACGGACGTCGCCTTCCTCGGCCGCGCGGGGTCGCGCAGGGACCGGGAGCGCGGCCTTGGGCTGCTCCTCCCGCGCCGGGCGCTCGGGCTCCCCGGCAGCGCCCGCGTCCACGCTCAGCTGCTCCTCCTCCGCCTCCGCCGCCGCCGCCGCGACCGCCAGCTCCCGCTCCGGGCTGCCGCGCTGCATGGCGCTCAGGGCCGATGCCGGCGCCACAGCCACCGCCGCCGCCGCCGCTCCACTGCCCCGGCCCGCAACCAAACTGCCTCCGCCGCCGCCGCCACGCGCTCCCCGCCTGAGCCCGTTGCCATGATCGTTCAGGCTCCGGTTGACAGGGATAGTCGCCTCCTCGGGACGGGGCCCGGAAAGGGACAATCGCCTGCCGAGGTACTGCGACCTCACAAGCGAGCGCGCCCACGTGACCAGTCCTGTCACAGAGGCGGCGGCGGCCATCTTGGAAGAGGGCAGCGAGCAGCTCAGGCCCTTCACCGCGGACCTCGCTAAGTTGCTGAGCGCCCAGAAGTTGTCCAGCTGATAGCAAGGTTGAGGGTAAAAGGTGTTGAGCTCCAGTTCGGCTCCCGAGCCTGGAAGGAGGAGGACTTTGTGAGGAGCGATATATTTTGCAAACACAAGACTCAGTTTCCCTAGCCTTACACTCTCTGGGTAATTCCAGACCATCCCCCCACTCATCCCTATTCTGTGAGCACCAGACTGAGAGGGGAGACCACCTTTGCTGGCTTTCAGGTATCTCCCACGGGATAGAGAAGCCCTGAAGATTTCCTTATGCGCAGGGGACAGCAACAATTTTTTGTTTGTTTTTGTTTTTCGAGACAGTGTTTCTCGGTAGCTTTGGAGCCTGTCCTGGAACTAGCTCTTATAGACCAGGCTGGTCTCGAACTCACAGAAATCCTCCTGACCCTGCCTCCCCAAGTGCTGGGATTAAAGGCGTGCGCCCGGCAGCAACAATTTTTTTTATAGTAAAATTGTGTATGTGTGTGTGTATACACATATAAGTGTGTGTATATATATATATATTACCATTTTTACTTTTTTCATTTGTTATTTTATGTGGATAAGTGCCTGCATGTATGTATGTGTCCTACGTGTGCAGTGGCTGCCCAAGGAGGCCAGAAGAGGGCTTCAGATTCCCTGAAACCGTAGTTAAAGTTTTGGGTTACCATGTGGTGCTAATCAATGCCAGGTCCTCTGGAAAGGCCTCCAAGTGCTCTTCCCCTCTGAGCCATGTCTCCAGGCCTAATTTTAACTATTTTTAATACTCAGTCCGGTGGTAGGCATTACTTTCAGATTGCTGTGTGTACCATCACTACGGCAGATCTCTAGAACTTTCCATATTGAAAGCATACCCATGAACTAACTCCTGGGTTCTTTGCTCCATCCCCAAGCCTGGATACGGCAGTTCCACTTCCGCCCTGATGAATCTAATCACTGGGCCCTCTTGTGTTAGTCTTGTTTGGCCCTGGAGGTCTTCATGTCATAGCAGGTGTCAGAGTTTCGCTATACCTTAAAACTTACAAATGCTGTGTGTACATACATAGTATTTTCCATATGCCTATCTAAGCGTTTTGAGTTATTTTAATAACCCCTTGACTCTTGTGACTATAAGTGCCATTAATATTTGTGTACAAGGATTTCTTTGAACCCCTGCTTTCAATTTTTCATAGCTGCCACAATTTTGTTATTGTTGTTGAGATGGTCTCTTTGTTAGCCCTGGCTGTCCTGGAACTCACTATACTATCTGGCCTCAACCTCACAGAGATCCGCCTGCCTGTGCCTCCTGAGTGCTGGGATTAAAGGTGTGCATCACTATCCCCAGGTAAGGTTGCTGTAAAATCTTAAAACCAGTCTCTCTTCTCCTGCCTAAGGGAGACACATTTAGGTGGGTTTGAGGTTTTAGGAAAAGGAGTTAGAGTTGTAACAGAAACCTGGACTGACCAGCAGCCATGACTGCACTTGGCTGAATTCTGCCTCATTTACTTTAAGGGTTCTGGAGGAAGGTGGCCCCTTCCCCCATTTCTCCAAAAGTCTCGTTTCCTTGGCCAGTAATCTCAGCGCATGACTTAGTTGCCTCAAAGCTCACCATAGCTTCAAGAGCACCATAGCTTGCAGCAGCCACGATGCTTTTGTTCAAGCCCCTGTACTGAGGGACTTGGGATGCTCATTTACGAAGCAGGATCCGAAACCCTCTTCCAGAGACTGTGACATACAACATCTGGTTGAGCCTGTGGGTGTGATTGTTAAAATTGCCCCTCTGCTTGTTGTAAATCAAAGTCAAGATGGAGGCTCCCAGAGCTGTCCGTGGGTATCTGAAAGATGCCTTCACTGCCCAGCCATTCTTTCTTCTTCTACACCCCTAAATCCTGTTCCTCTTGCCCTCCTGGTGTCTGTAGTTTCAGTAGTTGCCACTACCCTCATTCACTAAAGTTTGAAAATTGCCAAGGCTTAACAGACCCCACTCCCCCCTTTCTTAAAGCCAGTCCAGCCCTAAAGTCTTGTGGGTTTTACAGTAAGGTACTGTTCCTCTTGCCTGCCATCCCTGCTTCTATCAGCATCTGCCTCTGATCTGAGCTGTTGCAGCAGCCTCCTCCTAGGAGTCTCTGCCTCTCATCTGTTATACTCCTGTCCGTTCCGTTCACACTGCGGCTGGAACTTACCATCCTGTTCACACTTTCACACTGTGTCTGGAACTTCCCATCCCCATTCACACTGTGTCTGGAACTTCCCATCCCCATTCACACTGTGGCTGGAACTTCCCATCCCCATTCACACTGTGGCTGGAACTTACTGTCCCCATTCACAGTGTGGCTGGAACTTACTGTCCCCATTCACACTGCAGCTGGAACTTCCCATCTGTTCACACTGCAGCTGGAACTTCCCGTCCATTCACACTGTCACACTGTGGCTGGAACTTCCATCTGTTCACACTGGGCTGGAAGTTCCCATCTGTTCACATTGCAGCCAGAACTTCCCATCCATTCACACTGCAGCTGGAACTTCCCATCCATTCACACTGCAGCTGGAACTTCCCATCCATTCACACTGCAGCTGGAACTTCCCATCCATTCACACTGCAGCTGGAACTTCCCATCCATTCACACTGCAGCTGGAACTTCCCATCCATTCACACTGCAGCTGGAACTTCCCGTCCATTCACACTGTCACACTGTGGCTGGAACTTCCATCTGTTCACACTGGGCTGGAAGTTCCCATCTGTTCACATTGCAGCCAGAACTTCCCATCCATTCACACTGCAGCTGGAACTTCCCATCCATTCACACTGCAGCTGGAACTTCCCATCCATTCACACTGCAGCTGGAACTTCCCATCCATTCACACTGCAGCTGGAACTTCCCATCCATTCACACTGCAGCTGGAACTTCCCATCCATTCACACTGCAGCTGGAACTTCCCATCCATTCACATTGCAGCTGGAACTTCCCATCCATTCACACTGCAGCTGGAACTTCCCATCCATTCACACTGCAGCTGGAACTTCCCATCCATTCACACTGCAGCTGGAACTTCCCATCCATTCACACTGCAGCTGGAACTTCCCATCCATTCACACTGCGCTGGAACTTCCCATCTGTTCACACTGCAGCTGGAACTTCCCATTCATTCACACTGCAGCTGGAACTTCCCATCCATTCACACTGCAGCTGGAACTTCCCATCCATTCACACTGTGCTGGAACTTCCCATCCATTCACACTGCAGCTGGAACTTCCCATTCATTCACACTGCAGCTGGAACTTCCCATCCATTCACACTGCAGCTGGAACTTCCCATCCATTCACACTGCAGCTGGAACTTCCCATCCATTCATACTGCAGCTGGAACTTCCCATCCATTCACACTGCACTGGAACTTCCCATCTGTTCACATTGCAGCCAGAACTTCCCATCCGTTCACACTGCAGCTGGAACTTCCCATCCATTCACACTGCAGCTGGAACTTCCCATCCATTCACACTGCAGCTGGAACTTCCCATCCATTCACACTGCGCTGGAACTTCCCATCCATTCACACTGCGCTGGAACTTCCCATCCATTCACACTGCAGCTGGAACTTCCCATCCATTCACACTGCAGCTGGAACTTCCCATCCATTCACACTGCAGCTGGAACTTCCCATTCATTCACACTGCAGCTGGAACTTCCCATCCATTCACACTGCAGCTGGAACTTCCCGTCCATTCACACTGCAGCTGGAACTGCTCCCTCCTTGCTTAGAAATCTCCCCTAGTTTCCCAGCATCTCTCCATAAACTTCAAGCATGTGCATTGTCTCAAGACTTTCTGATCCCCATTTCTGGAACACACCCTCTCTTTGCTTCTGTGACTTACTTAGTACCCACTGTTCCCTCCACCTGGTGTCCCTGGTGATCCCTCCTTTGTTTCTCTGCCAGGGGAACTCAGGCTCATCCTGGATGCTGTCTTTTTGAGCAGCTTTCCCCAGTGCCCTCAGGAGGGAGTAGTTACTCTCTGTACTGATGGAATACATGATAACCCTCCACCACAGCCTGACTGTCATAGAAAACTTATCTCAGACTCCTCCCTCAGTCTAGGCAAGAACAAATCAGACTGATGTCTCTCTAGAAGAAGCCAGAACATGGCGGTCTGCAAAAAGCAGTATGAATTCAGTAACAAATGTTTTACAACTTACCAAATCTGGAACGATCAGCCCACATAGGGATAGCTACTTTAGCAGCACACCCATGATCTCGCCGCCTCAGGGCCTTTACATGCGCCCTTCCTCTGCCTAGAACACTCTTCAGCTTTCAGTGTGCATCTGCTGAGATGCCTCTGATATCCCAACCTACAGCAGTCCTCTCCAGGGGAGATAATTACAGAGACCGAAAATCAAGACGAAGCCAGAGGTCACATGGTTACTTGAAGTAATAGAACTGCTCAGCAGTTCCAGGAATGGTGAGTTCCCCATGAATTACAAGCCAGGCTCTCCATCAGACATAGACTATAAGCTTGATTTTTAGAATGGGGCAGGCAGAAAGACAGGGTGGCCACTGCAGAGGCCATGGTTAGAGTCAGTGGAGAAGGAGCCAAGTGCTCTGCCGGCTGGGTCACAGTCCCTGAGGCTCCATCCACCAGCTGAGGATATCCCTGCTTCAGATGCTACTGTGCCAGTGGAGGGCCTCGCTGAGAGAAGAGATCACCATGGATGCAAGCAGAGAACATCTGCCTTTGGGACTGGAGATGCCAACTGGACAGGATGAAACCCAAGTCTTGGAGAAGAAAGAGGAGGGCCCAAAGGGCCCATTGGAGCCCCATTGTCCGGAGCTTTGGACAAGGCCAGGTACCTCTGACTAATCAGGAAAGCCC